CACACACACACACACACACACACACACACACACACACACACACACACACACACACACACACACACACACACACGTCTTACTTGCAGTATGCACCAGCATGCAAAGATGATAGGGTCGTGACCTTTTCTTATCTCTCAGATATGGGTTTAGGAACTTGGGTTTAGTCTAATTAGAGTCTGTGTGGTGATGTTAGTAGGCTAAATCACAGGATCGGGGTACATGCCTCGATACGGAGTGTAAGTGTGAGATTTGCAGGTTTTGCTCCGTGTCACAGAACACTTTCAGCAGCAACTGGTTAAAACCTACTTTCAAAGCCTGCACACCGACGCACATCATTCCTTAAGACCTGCTTGTTGTGACAGTAAGATGAGACACTGTTAACATAGCTGTGTGATGTATGTGTAGTGCAGCTCTTTGCCAGTTGAGGACTTTTGCAATGCCGCAGCAGGCGTTATGTCATGGCTCAAAGCAAAGAATTAATTTGGCTCTTTGGAGGCCTTCTCTGAGTCCCCCGATAGCTTCTCAAAATGAGGACAGCTGGTGAAGAAGGTCACCGAGTGCTGTATTTTAAGAAAGGCAGAAATGTGTGCATGTGGTTTGTTGACAGATGACTGGTCTTCAGAGATGAGATACAGATTTAAAAGCTGGCTGGAGAACTCTAGCTCCTGCTGGTTAGGGTGTCCAAACCGAAGCTGGACCACACGTACATAAATGTGATCGAGCGTGAGCACACAGAGCATTTGATCATGGTTGCTTATGATTTCAAAAGAACTATATCTTTTAACCAGACCTGGAATTTACTTGTCACCATAGGAATTCCAAATTTTGATTATCCAAAACTTCCCTCTCCCAAATCCATTAAGCCTGAGGAGTAGATTTCAATCACGTCTTCTCTCTGTGTACTAAACTCCTGTGATTTCTCCTCTGCCAGGCTGATAAGATATCAGCTGGAAGCCACAGATCACAAGAAACTCTGAAAATACCACAGTTCTCCCACCTTCTTCCCTAATCCATCCATCTTTCTGTCATTCATTCATAGACTGTTCCTTTTGGTAAAAGGAAACGGTTGTCTTCATCTCTCGTCTCATCACTCTAACAGACGGCCCTTTGCTTCTGATTACACGCACACACCCGCGCGCACGCCATGCGCTCACATGTTTCTCAGAAGTGGCTGGCACCCTTCAGACTTCTCTGCCCTCTGCTCCCACCTCCCCGATCCCATGAACCAGGGTGTCATCAGATGGGAGAAAAGATGACAGATTTAATCAGAGGGTGTTTGTGCCTCAGCAGGCAGGGTATAAAAAAAGGCTGCACATGCACAAACACACATGCGAGCACACAGGGCGAGCAGGCTGTCCCACCCCTAAGTAGGTCATGCGCAGTGAAGAGCAGGGGGGGGGGGAGCCGTGGTGCATCTTTAGCCATCTGGTTTTGATGTGTTGGATGGCTGCTCTGTGAGACCCACGGAGAGAGAAGAGAAAGGCAGAGAAAGAAAGATTAGAGTGAGAGAGGGATGGAGGAGCCAGGGAGGCATCTCTCTGAGAAGGTGACCTTGAAATGCTCTGCTTGGTGGTGCGGGGGGAGCAGGCTCTGTTTTGCCACTCAAAAACATCAGAAAGAGACAACTGAAGAGCTTCGTTAATTTCAAACAATGAGGCACAGATGCAGTTGAGTTACCTGGCTGATAGATTTTTACATACAGATCTGTAACAACGATCATTTCAACTAAATGGAGAGAAAAAAGTGGTTTCTATGCATTAAGCATCATCGGTCTGTGAATTTCAGTGGAGACAGGT